GGAAAATTGTGGGACTGTCCTGCTTCTAGGTTGTATATGGTGAGATTTTTGGACTTATGTGCAAACATGAGAATTATATAATTCTTTATGCCTATGTCTAAAATATATTCTAATTTTTAAATGTTTTTATCATATTCTGTAGGGACTTAAAGTTGATCATATCAATACTTGATGAAAAATACCTGTTCCATATTATGCCTAAGATGTTTGATATGCAGACAGGTAGTGAAGTTAATCTTAACAGCCTAAATAGTTTGATAATAACAATAAGCTTGTCGTCTTTATGGTTAACAACCTAAGTTTGCAGACCAAAATTAGAGAAAAAGAAGAGCTGCAAGGAAAGTCAACATTTTGGCCCTAGCCTTCTAAGGGCAATTAAGACTCAGGATATATGGGAACTTGTACTGTAACATCATGTAACTCGGTAGTGTCCCAAATTTTCTGATCAAGGAGATTATGGGGCCAAGGAGGAAAGTGGTTGATGATGTAGAGTGTGCCTAAGGAGAGTCACATGGAGAGAAAACATTCTCTCAGGCTTTCACAGAGAGCACATTGGCCAAGCAAAGGCTGTGACTCATCCACATGACTGACACTGACAAAGGTTCTACAATCTGAGGTACAGGATCTCAGCATAAATCCTGAGGTGATTTCACAGACCTTATCAGACCCAAAAGCTACAACTCTTGTTGCATCGGTCCTGCTTTACCTTGGTATTAACCATCCAGAAGTATAAAAACGAAATATAAGAAGTAAAGCTATGCTGTTATATTATGCTGTGGGGGACTCAGGTCATCAATTTGTGACATTTCCAGTGAAGCCGAAATCCCAATACTATTTTGGGCTGCTGGACTCTTTTGTAATGATTTGTTGAGTTTATACACCTATAATACTCAAATAACAAAACTTACCAAAAAAAGAGGTATACAGATGAATGTCCATTTTGTATCTGTATATTTAAAGTGGTTGGGATAGAGATATAGTTAGATTCTCTTAATGAATAGAATGATTTGTTCTAATGGTGTTTGTAAATAGGATCTCTGGTCCGCATCTTTTACAGCAATTAACCACTAAGGAGAGTATATGCACTGTGTTCGTTATTGAAACTGTCCTACAGTTTTGATTTGAAACTGTCTCATTGCTATCTGTTTATCAATAAAATTATGAAAAAAGTCCACTTTGTATCTGTGTATTCAGAGAGGTTGGGATAGATATACAGTTACATTCTCTTAATGAATAGAATGATTTTTTCTAATGGTGTTTGTTAATGGGATGTCATGTCCGCATCTTGTACAGCAATTAACCACTAAGAAGAATGTATGCAGTGTGTTAATTATTGAAGCTGTCTTACCGTTTTGATTTGAAACTGTCTCATTGCTATTTGTTTATCAATAAAGTTATGGCAAAAGTAAATAAATAAATGTAGAACCACAGCTACACACTGTAATACTATAAACATATTCAAACAAATAACTACAATTCCTTTGGCAAATAAGACAGGTTGTAAATTAAAAAAATTTTTTTGGTCTTAAAAAAACAGAAAAAAATACCTCCAGTATAAATCATAGATCTAGAAAAAAAGCATTGTTAAAATTCATCTGCAACAGGAAGAGAACTGGATTATCAAAAGCAATCCTGTGAAACAAAGGAAAGGAGAAGATATCACAATTAGTGACTTCTATTTACACTACAAAGCTAAAATCAGTAAGTTACAGGCAAAATTAGACCTGACACTCAATGGAACAGATTAGAGCATGCATACACAACTACAAACACACTCAGTCACCTAATTTTTGACAAAGGCACCAAACATTGTCACTTGCAAAAACAAAGTCTCTTTTATAAATGGTGCTGGAAAAAAACTGGCTTTCCATACAAAAAAAGGCTAAAATTAGATCTATGTCTATCATCATGAACTAAATTATAATCAAAATGGGTCAAATGCTTAAATATTAGAATGGAAACACTAAATCTAGTGGAAAAAAAAGTATGTAGAAATGTTAAAGACCTACTTGGAGGTAGAGAGTTTATGAACACAAACCAAACTGCATGGAAGTACTTCAAAGAATCCACAAATGAGATCTCATCTTTGTGAAAAGTTTCTACACATCCAAAAAAGTATCATCAACAGAGTAAAACAAAACCTATCAGGAAAAAAAAATTTAGCCACCTCTCCCTCAGACCAAGGACTTGTATGTAGAACATTAATGAATTTTTAAAAATCAGTCACCCAAAATTCAAAGACTAAAAATGGGCATCTGAGATGAATATACACTTCTCAAAAGAAACAACACAAATGGCATATAAATGACCAAAATCTTTGGTCATTTGAGAAATGCAAATTGAAACAATATCAACATTCTATCTCTTCCTAGAAAAAAATAACTATCTTCAAGAAGTCATTCAATAACAAAAGCTGGAATGGCCATGGGGGAAAAAAGACCCTTCTCTGCTATTGGAGGGAATGTAGACTGGTACAACGACCATGACAGTGATTGAGATTCTTTAAAATGTGGTACCATTCAACCTAGCTATTACCCTCCTGGGTATTTTTTAGAAGAATCAAAAACATCGTACCACAGTGACATATGTGCACACATGTTTATAGTAACACAGTTTATCATGGCTATGTCTTATAAGTAACTCCAGTGCCCATCAACTGAGAAATGGATTTAAAAGTAGTGTTTTTATACATTGGTGCTTTCCTGAGCTACAAAACAAATAAACTCAAGTCTTTTAGAGGTAAATGGATGCCATGAGAAACCATTTATAAATGAAACAAATAAGACCTACATGTGAAAATACAATTTACCATATGACATCAGTGTTACTCTAGCTGACATTTTCATGGGATTTCTACTTTGGAAGATGATAAATATTTAGTTATGTTTTTGTGCATCACTGTTAGACATTCAATGTCTTCTTTTGTACTTGCCTATGATCAATTTTGAGATAAAGTATTCTTTGTATTTAATCTAACATGCTAAGTAATATGAACCATCATATTATTTGTTTCATATTTACATGGGAAATGTAACTATCATACATTTAAAACATCTTTCAAATATGAAATTATATAGTTCAAATTTTATTACATATACTATTTTCTGAACTTGTGAAGGAAAGAAGGAATCACGCATTTATGTATTATTCCATATTGCATTATTTCAATATCATTACAATTGGGAATTATGAAACAATAAATTTATTTAATACACAAGTAAATTTTTCATTAAGTAAGAATTACAACATCAACTATATCACACAAATGCATAGATTCAATAGCAATATCTTACAATCAGAATCATATATTTTCCTAAAAATCCTGGCAGTAAAATGTATGGAGATCATCGGAAGAATCTACATAATAAATATTTTCAATTATGCACATATGTTAAAAGTGATTGAAAATTAAATACATTACAATAATCAATTGTGGCTCCCTCTGAAGAAGGTACAATTCATAAAGCATAAATGATACATTTCCATGCTACCTAATTTGTGATGTTTTCTAATCCAGAGATTTTTCATAGCATTTTTCATATCTGTATTTCTCAGAGTATAGATGAGGGGATTCAACATAGGGGTGATAATAGTGTTAAACACGGTCAAGCATTTATCAATGGGTAAAGTAGAAGGTGGCCTCACATAGCCAAAAATGCAAGGAACAAAGAAGAAGATGACCACTGTGATGTGGGAGCCACAGGTGGATAAGGCCTTGCGCCTGCCTTCCTGACTCAGCTTCTTCATGGAGTGCAGAATGACGACATAGGAGATTAGTAAGAGTGAAAAGATGACCACACAAATTGCCCCATCATTAGCCACCACTGTGAGGCCAATAACATAAGTGTCTGTACAGGCTAAGTTTAATAAGGGGTACATGTCACAGATGAAGTGGTCGATGACATTGGGACCACAAAATGGAAGGTTATAAACAAAAAGAATATGAGACAGAGCATGCACAAAACCTCCAGCCCAGGCCAACACCAATAATAGAACACACACTCGTTGGTTCATGATGGTCAGATAATGCAAGGGTTTGCAGATGGCCACGTAGCGATCATAGGCCATGACAACAAGAAGCAAAATTTCTGCACCACCAAAGAAATGTTCAAAAAAAAGCTGAGTCATACAGTCTTGGAAAGAAATGGTTTTCCTTACATGGAGTAAATCTATCATCATATGTGGAGTAACTGTGTTAAAATAAACAGCATCCATAAATGATAAGTAGCCAAGAAAGGTGTACATTGGAGAATCCAAGGCTGGGCTGAGCACCACAGTGATGACAATGAGTAGATTGCCTGCCATTGTCACCATGTAGATCATCAGGAACACAGCAAATAATATTTTCTGACCCTGGAGGTTCTGAGTGAGTCCTAAGAGCACAAACTCAGTCACGTTCCTTTGTTCCATAGTTCATTCTCTGTGTCCTTGTGTCTTTGTTAAGAACAAAATTATCTTTACAGGGAATTACTACCAGTGAATTCATTAAATTTTAGGTTAATTTATTTGTTCTTCAAACAAGTGTTATGATTTATTATGCCTAGAGTTATCTGAGATAATAATGATATATGATCAACAAGAGCATGGTTTCAGCCTTGGACATTTTATACAGGGTTGATATCTGAAAATAGAAACTAAAAATCTGGAAAAAGGACTGATTAACAAAAAAGTGACTCTACTCCAAATAATTTTTCATTTTTAATTATTAATATTTCACCTATGTGTTACACACCATAAAATGAATCCACATTAAAGACTTTATGTTAAAAAGTTACTTATATGTACTTCAAGTAATAAAGAGAAATGACTCTTCACTCCTGAAGCAGAGGAATCTAATCAAGTAGTAGTAAAAATCTCAAACATTTGCAAAGCACATTGTAGTTTCTAAGACTATAGTTAATTATACCTTAAATAGAAAAATAGTTTAGGAAAGCACTTAAATTTAGATTACAGTAAAAGAGTTAGTACCTGAAATATATAAAAACCCTTTAAGAAATTAGTGAAAGAAAAGTCTGTAGCAAATAGAGGTAAAGAATTAGAGGTAAAGTACAACGAAAAAAACAACCATAAATATAGGATGGGATGCTCCAGTTTATCTGTAAATAAAAAATGCAAAAATGAGGAAAATAAAAAAATTAGTAAAATTATTCGAAGTACTTTCTTGCATTGAGATTCTATAATTTTTGAAACATAATTTTTCTATCTCTTTTGAATGTAAAATTATATACACCTTTTTTAACAACCATTTCACTCTTGGGAATCTATTACCTGGATTTTAAAGTCCTAGGACCAGGGATGTAGCTTATGTACACAGCAACTGCCTGGCAATTGTGAGGCCCCAGGTTTGTTTCCTCATACAAAAAAAGATATGAAAGCTCTCTTATACAAAGACATATTTACAACAGATTCTGTGGCATTATTTATAATGTCCTTAGGCCAAAATGTAAAAATAAATTCAAGGTGGATGGTAATAAAGCAAATTTTTGAATAGAATATGATATCTATGAAATTGAAATTGGCCATTTAGAATAACTAATTACAATAATTTCAGTGCCATATTCGGAGAATGTGCTAAAGTTACTGTGAAATCAGAAACAAGCATAAAACTACAGACAATGTGATATCATCGTATGTAAGTGAAAATGCCACGTATTTATCCACTCATAAATGTATGTGCTCACCTGAGCATGGGGAATATATAAGCATATGTGTTTTGCTGTATACATGGATAACTTTTTTGATAATTATATAAGTAACAGCCAGAGTTGTATGTAAAAGATTGAAATGACAGGTCAGAGGACAGAATATGAAAGAATAGAAAAGTAAGGGGAGTGGAAGGGAGGAAAGGAGAAACAAAAGGAGGGAGGAGAAGGGGAGGAGAAAGGGGAAATAAGGTGGAGATAGCGATGGAAGAGGGGGAGGAGGAGTGTGAAAAGAGAAGGGAGGGAGAATGAGCAGAACAGTAACAGGTGACAGAGGTTTAACACAAAGAAAGTAACCATCACCGTACAAAGAATACATATCCACTAGCCCATATTGCTGTAAAATGAGCCTAGTGATGGCAATTGTTCTCTAGGTCTCTGTTAATTCTTACTTCATTCTAACTTCATAAATTCCTTTCATAACCTTGGATTATCTGTCTCCCTAATACTGTACTGTGTCTATGCTCCAGCAGTAGATTATATTCTCTTTCTAACTCCTCAGAACACAGATCCTACAACTTCATCTTCCATTTCCTACACCAATAATTTTCCTCCTTCACATACACCATTATGTCAGCACATCTATTCAGTATTTCTTCATGTTAAAATGATCTGTTTTGAACCTACATGATCTTAAGCAACATTTCCACTCAATTATACAATATTCTTCTATTTAGTGAATTGTGGTCAACTGGAGACCTCTTCAGATATGACCCACATTATGAATCACTACAGGAACATCTTCTCACTCAAATATTAAACTAGAGTCCCTAAAGTCACTGATTCATTTTGCTAGATATTACACCATTTAATTTTTAACAATCTAAATGGTGTCTGTTGTTTTTATCTAGAGATTAAGAAACACCTGCACACTAAAAATCTCTCAGAGTTACACATTAAATTGGTTTGTAAGAACCCTGACATTAGAGAAGGTAAATTTATGCACATATATAAAGCATAAAGTCTACTTCTGAATCTTATGTAAAAATTGTTGTCCTGGAATTTTTATGATATTCAAATATCCAAGAGGTATATTAGAGCTTGTAACTAAAGCTGTTATATTTTAGCTAACACATGGACCTCTTAATGTAATTCATTATCACAATCACATGGAGCTTTTATAAATTTATGAGTTTTATTAGAGTATTGTAATTAAAAAATGTAAAACATAGTTCACAGTCTTACAAAGAAATAATTGTGTGTTACCTGCATGAGGGAGTAGACTTTCTCAAGTTGTAGAATTTGGTACACTCTCCTTGGTCCTGAGTAATCATGACTTTACGCACTCACGGCATCTCTAGGAATGGAATTCACAGAGCAAAATCACTCATAAACTACCACAATACCTTGAGATGTTTCCATCCAATTTTTTCATGCTTTCACAAAGGATGATTCATCAAACTTTCCAAGAAACAAAATTCAATAATTTTCAATTTTTAAAATCAATATCAAGACTTCCTTATAACATGAAGAAGTCTAACTCTTGATCATAAATAATTCCCAAATTGACACCTCTGACAAAACTTGAACAAATATTAACAAAGCACATTTTGCGTTCATAACCCTGAGTTTTGTGGAGGGAAGAATCAGTAATTGTTAAGATGCATATTTGCAAGTTGTCTTTTATTCACTGAGAGTTAAATAATAAGAGAGCCTTTACAATATTTTGAATTTTGGTCAGGTACACTGCCCTGGGCTACATAGAGCATGTTTAAATTTAATGTTGGCTAAAGGATGAAGAAAGATTTAATCCTATCCTACCATTCTTTGCACCTATTATTGCAATTCCTAAGAAAACAGCCATGTGGGTACCAGTACAGACAGGAACTCTGATACAAGGACAAAGGTTTGTAGACACTTTATCTGTATTAGAACCACAGCACACGTTTTTTTAATCATTCAGTTGTTGCATCTCAAAGGCTGAGATTCCTTAATTAGACTCCTTGGGATACTAGTCATACTGCTGAGTGTAGGCTCCACCTCCAGAGATGCTAGAAGGATACATCTTGTAGTATCATTTCCTCTGGGGGAAATATCATAATTGAACAACTTGAGGTCAAATCACAATGTACTGGCAGTAATGAAATGTGTAAAAATATGCCCTTTCTAAAATCATAACCTACAGTATAAGAGGCAGTACAAGACAAGCTATAAGGGCCAGCCAAACAGTTCAGCATATTAAAGCACCTGTAAGGAGGCACAGGGGCTGTGGTTCGATCCCCATTCCTGCCACTCTGAAATGCCAATTGAGATCATACATGGTGGTGCACGCCTGTAACCCCAGCACTTGGGAGACTGTAAAAGGGAGAATCACTACAAGTCTAATCTAGTGAGACCCTAAACACCCTGTAGACCCTTCCCTAAAATACAGGAAAAAATAGACAGACTATAAGGAGGGTGGAAAGGTCAAAATGTATTATAAACATGTACAAAGACTCCAATATTATTTAAAAATGAGAATTTCTTTATTTGTTCTTTTTTCTTTTTTCTTTTCTTTTTTTTTTTTTAAGCAGGGATTGAACTCAGTACCCTGCGATTGACAAGCAATCACTTATTCTACTGAGCTATCTCTCCTTGGCCCTAAAAATAACAATTTTTTTTAAAAAATAACAATTTTTAAAAGTCCTATATTTAAGAAAATTCTAGGACCAGGGATATAGCTCAGTGGCGTAAGCACCTGCCTGGCAAGTGCAAGGTCCTGAGTTCCATCCCTGGTATCACAAAAATAAAATAAAATAAGATCATTTAGAAAAAAGAAAATTCTAATAGTATGCTAAATTAAGAATAACTTCTAAAACATTATACTTAAGACAATCTCAATAGTACATAAAAATAAGAAAAGCTAAAAGGATTACAGTTTTAAAAACATTTAACCTGTGTCATTTGAGCTGACACCTGAACTCACAGTCAGAGATGAAAAAATTGATTTCAGAATAAGTCTTTGAAAACTTTTAGTCTTACATGTGAAAAGCCATTTTTTCCAACACTTTTTATTAAAGAGACTGTCTTCCAGTGAAAGATATTTAATCATTATTATTATATTTCACATTGCTGGCCTCAGCTATATATAAAAATTACAGCACTCTGAAAAAAGAATCAAAAAAGATTTCAGAAAATGGAGACATATTCCTTGCTCCTGGATGGGAAGCCATACTTCCAAATCTGTTATACAGATTTAATGTAATCCCTATGAACATGCCACCAACATATCTCACAGATACAGAGAAAATGTTCTTAAAATTTATTTGGAATGAAAAAAGACCCAGAAAAGCAAAAGCAGTATTGGGCAACAAAGGAAAGGCAGGAAGCATGGAAATACTGGTTTTCCACATTCCAAAAACTAAAACTAGACCCAGATCTATTGCCATGCACTAAAGTAAGGTCAAAATGGATTAAAGATTTAAACATTAAAACAGAAAAACTAAATCTCCTGGAAGAGAAAGTAGGTGGAAATAATGAAGACATAGGGAGAGGCAGACAGTTCATGAACAAAAATCAAACTTCCCAGGAAATATTTAAAACAATAAACAACTGGGACCTCCTCTAACTGAGGAGTTTCTGCACTTCAAAGGAAATAACCAATAGTGTGAAAAGGCCACCAGCAAATTTGGAAAAATTCTCAACCAATAATCACTCAGACAAATGTTGTCTATCTAGAGTATATAAAGAAATAAAACAAATTAGGGTCCCCAAATTTAAAGACCCAAT